AGGTCCTAAACCGTTTAGGGCCTTATAAGTAAGCATTAAAAATTTGAAGTTGATGCGGAAACAAATGGGCAGCCAATGCAATGCGGCCAGCGTAGGAGAAATATGATGGTGTTTTCTCACTCCAGTAAGGAGTCTGGCCGCAGCATTCTGCACTACCTGAAGTTTCTGCATCAGCCTCAAAGGCAGCCCCACCTAGAGCGTGTTACAGTGGTCTAATCTTGAGATTACGAGCGCATGTATCAAGGTGGTGAGTGCCCCCGAGTCAAGGTAGGGTCGCAGCCGGGCAATCCGCCAGAGATGGAAGAAGGCAGTGCGGACTACTGACGCCACCTGGGATTCCATGGTGAGCGTCGGGTCCAAGTGTATGCCCAAACTACGAACCCCACTCTTCGCCGCCAAGGTGACCCCCCCCAAACATGAGAGAGTCACCCAAGCCACCAACTGCGGGGGCACCCACCCTCAGAACTTGTTGTCTGCTGACGTGACCATTAATTTCTAAAGAGGATGGATGCATCCTAGTCTGGTATCTCAGCTTTGACTATTTTGCTTTGTATGACCTGCTAGAAGTTTAGATGCACAATAGATTCTAGCCTCCTGATGTCTTCTCTAACCTTCCCTGACACACTGAAACCCCCCAAACTACATTAAGATATGCCTCCAAGAGGCAATACAATAATATAAATGAACAAATCTGCATGAGTGCCTGCATATGTATGGGATTACAAAGCAAACAAGGGTTTTCAGATCATAACCACATGGATTCAAAGGAGTGTTAAACAAAATGAGGCCGCTAAACATTGTCAATAGATGCCAGTGTCACCCAGCAGCTTCCCTGTAGTTGCTATGCAGGACTGGTAGCATCTTCCTAACAGGTTCGTGTAGTCTCACAAATGGGATAATAAATGTGCTTACTCAGAAAACAGCCGTACTTTTGTTTACCCTCCGGTAAGTTCAATGAGATACTGGATAGAGGGTCGAACCAGGATCGACGAAATCCGCGTTCAAGTCCCACCTTGGTCATAGAAACTGACAGGCGAGTGAGACTAGTGGGAAAAAAACCCAACACCCTTAAATATCACACGTACAACAGCCGCCACACATCAGAGTCGACAGCACATCACACAAGTGAGCCGTTAGCTTTACAAACTGCTAGGCTGTTGACCTACGAGCACAGCAGCTGTGCTTTTATTACCAGTGGAGCCAAAGAAACGAGGACGCAGCCCCTATTGTCTCATCAGGGCGAGGCTGCATCTGACCTGACGGAGGGAGGTTACGGGAAGAGGGCAAGAACAGAAACACCCGACAACGAGAGACGTAGACTTCGGCTTCTCTAGTACGCATGCGCGGACCAAGCCGCCGCCCGAACAAAACGGGGGGAGGGCAAGAACAGAAACACCCGACAACGAGCCGCCCGAACAGAGACTTAGACACTTCGGTTTCTCTAGTACGCATGCGCGAACCAAGCCGTGGGCCGAACAGAACGGGGGAACTTTGCGACAGTTAATGTCGTTGCCCTGTCCGCATGCGCAGTCTTTCTCAAAGCAGACAAAATGGCGGCGCCCGTGGACCTTGAGCTGAAAAAGGTATTGGGTGGAGGCGGGAGGGAGTGAAATGCAAACAAAGCAAAACGCCGGTTAGGAGCTGGTGGAAAATGTTGGAGGGTTTGGTACTCCGAGGCTGCTGCTTTCAGGAATGAGGCGGATGGACGTTGCTGGTTGCCATTTCCTCTCCGGTGGGACTTGTTCGGGGTGGCCTGGGAATATCAGAATTCTTTCTTCATATGGACTCCCTTGGGTGCTGTTCTGTTGAACATAAAGCAACGTCTTTTAATTGCAGTGCCTTGAGTTAGTCGAAACATTGGAAGAGCTCTTCTTAAATGGTTCTATTTCATCCAGCATCCTGTTTTTCCAAGTTGGCAAATCAGATAAGCATCCCATGGAGGTCTCAAGCTCATCTTGAGCCCAACAGCCTTTCGCCGTGGTTGGCCCAGAATTTGTCCTTTGTAGACATACTGGCTGTGATCTATTTAACTGTCATAACCAGTAGGTACTGATCGGTCTCTCTGCCACACTTTGAGTTAATCTTTTCTCAAAGTCCTCTAAGTATACTATAGCTGTCACTGCTTCCCGAGGGGGTTAATTTTGTAAGTTATGATGTTTTGCATTAGGAACTTGCGTGCCCTTAATCTAGAATCCATCAGTTTCTTTGTATTCTAGTATTGTTGGAAGTGAATGTCATGTTTCTTTCATCCCAGCAGTGTACAATTTTATTGTAAAACAAGGGCTTGAATTAAACAACATTTAGTTTGAGAGAAGAACAGTTAATCAGTGCACCAACAATGATGGAAATTGTAAATTAAGGCACTCATTTAAATTCTGTGCCATGTAATCACTAAATACCTACATTCTTCTGTTTTATGCTGACAGCCAAGCTTCCATGTATCCATTTCACCTCTTTTTCTGTCAGCCTGAGTTCTTTTCTGAAGTTTGAGGGAATGTTGAAGCCCAGGATTCATATTATGCCAGACTTAAATAAGGATATCTGCTTTTGAATTCTAAACTCTTAGTTTTCACAGTTGACTAGTTACATAACTCATTTTAAGTTGCTTCTCCAGAGTTTATTAAATACATTAATTGTATAAAAAATGAAAGCTTATTAATTCAGTTACAAAATTTGAAAGGATTTAAACAAACAACCTTGTTTGTGTGTTTAAAACTAAAAATTAAATATTGCTGCATGGTGATCTTCATTAACTAAGTTGGATATGTGCTTCAATCTGAACATGCTTCCACACTTGTGTTTAGTTTTGCACAGACACATGCACAAACATAAAATTCCCCAAACACTCCCCATCCACTAAAAGTCCCCCACTAAAAATACAAACATCTACCCCGCAGGCCAAGTAACACAGTCCAACTAATTATTCACTACTGGTGGTCTTTAAGCTCATTATTAATTGCAATTATACCTCTGGGATAAAAACTATTGAGAAAACGTGTGGTCCGAGTCTTAATTGTTCTATATCTTCTGCCAGATGGTAACAGTTCAAAAAAGTTATAAGCAGGATGGGAAGACTAAAACTCAGGAGACTAAAAATTGAATATTGCTGCATGGTGATCTTCATTAACTAAGTTGGATATGTGCTTCAATCTAAACATGCTTCCACACTTGTGTTTAATTCTGCATTTTTTTTTTTGCCATCCTTGTCCCTCCTTATCATTATTGAAATATTCAATTCATTCCAAATTCCTAAAAGCTGATGTTGGTGGGATAGTGGTTCTACTTGAAGAAAAACAAGATCCGTAGCTTGCTTATGCTGTTGGATTTAGGATTGCTTCTGCATCTGCTGTGGCCAAAAATGCCGTTGTCTAGTTTCAACTAGTGTGTTAGCTGTCCTTCCAGAGGAAGGCAGTGATCCATGCCTTACCTGCCTCATTTAGAGAACAACAAGTTCTATATGTTGCTGCTCATTGAAAATTCTTCAGAAACTACGGCTAATGCAAAATATAGTAAATCACAACTAGAATAGGCCCATTTAATCAATTGAACTTAAGGGGTTGAGTCACCACATTTCTAACTGATCTGATGGACATATTCTAGCTGTGACTTTCTACTGGATCCTAGTAATTCTGTTCTTTGGAGACCATATGGTATATTGTAAGTTTTAAACTATTTACACTGATTTCTGAGACTGGTTCAGGGTGGTGGTTAAAGCCCTAAAAAGCATGGTGCAAGAGTGTCTGACTTTTTGTGTACAAGCCTATTTTAATCTCTGATATTTGTCAGTAGATCTCAGGACTAAGTAGAGTGTTTGTTTAAACTTCTATCCCGTCCATTAGGTGGACAAGCCACTATTCTGTGTGGCTTTCAGGATATCACAAAAACATACGATACAACAATTAGAAAAAAATTGAATATATAAAAGCAAAAGCTGTTTGGTGAATCATGGGCTGACGTAAATTCAGTACAAAATTAATATTACAAAGGGGTGAGGTTTTTAAAGGCCTGGGTTAAAAACCAGGTTCACTTGTTACTGAAGCTCAGGAGGGTGGGGCCCAATCACACCTCTATAAGGAGGGAATTCCAGAGTGGGGCAGCCACTACCGAGAAGCCCCAGCCTCTGGTTGATGACTTCCAGGCCTCTCTCAGAATGGCCACCCACAGCATCAGGGATTGGGAGGTGCAGGTGGGATGAGAGGATGACCTGAGGGAGAGACGTTCTGACAGGTAACAAGGTCCTAAACCGTAAAAGGCTTTATACATTAACATCAGTGCCTTGAATTTGATCTGGAAGCATACTGGCAGCCAGTGCAGGCGGGCCAGGATGGGTCAAATTTAAATGTATCAGGGACCAGCCTGGCTGCTGCATTTTGCGCTTGCTGCAGCTTCCGAACTGTCTTCAAGGGCAGCCCCAGGGACAAAGCATTGCAATAATTGATCCTTGAGATTAGCAATGTGTGAACCAATGTTATTAGAAACTTCCTATCAAGAAGGCAGTGGCAATGTGCAATTTGACTCAGATGGAAAAAGGCAGATATGGCCATGGTCAAGATCTGCTTCTCCATCAAGAGGGCTGGGTCCAAAAGCACACCCAGATCATGGGCTTGATCCTTCAGGGAAGTGTGACCCCACTAAGATCAGACAACAAACCCCTTAACCAATTAGGATGTCCTCCCAACAGCCAGATCTCCTTCTTGTCAGGATTCACCTTCAGCCTATTTGCCCTCATCTAGTCCCTAACTGTGGCCACAAAATGCTCTAGGGTCTGTATAGCTTCCCCTGCTGAAGAGGAAAAGGAAAGACAGAGTTGTGTGTCATTAACAAATGATGACATGGTACTACATATCTTCAGATGGCTTCTCACAGCGGCCTTATATAGATGTTAAACAGCAATGACGATATGGTTGATCTCTGTGGGACACCACATTGCAGTGGATGAAACTACTTCCCCAAGCTGAACCCTCTGATACCAGTTGTTGACAAAGGACTAGATCCAGCATATTGCTATACCTCCAATCCCCAACCCAAACAACTGATCCAGGAGGACACCATGGTTGACAATATCAACCTTATTCCTTTGTTTGTTAAAAATCCATTCCTGGTCTGTGTGACTCCTTACAGGGAATGGTTGGTGGCAGCTTAGTTAACGTGTGGCATATCCCAGTAGGTCTGGGTTTGTCACAGATAGTTCAGGTCGTTGGTTGATAAGGTGGCTGTTTTCAGAAGGGGTATCCTTCTAGATGGAAGGTAAATATCCTTCCTGTAAGGAGGAATTCACTATCTGAGTGGCCCATTCAGTGGTCACTGCCCTGGCCGATTTTAAGATCCAGGAGGAGCATGGGTGTGATTGAGGCAATGGGCTGAGCCGGTTCCCTTGCACCTGTCCAGAGGAGGGAATGTTAGAACCCAGAATTGGAACCAAATGCCAACCCCAGGTTCTTCTGAAATGGCCAACAAATCCTCCAGCACCATATCTCCCCCTCCCCATCACCACCAATATTCCATTGTGCCCCCACATATTTAATTTTCCAGGTTTAACCCTCTACCACCAGGCCTTAATTCCACCACCATACCAAAAAAGGAAAAAAATAAAAAATATATATATAAAATATCCCACCCCATTTAGTCCCAAAACCAAAGAAAAAGGTCCCTAAACTAAACTTCTGAAAATTAAATTTACAAAAAAGGCTTAAAACCCCTAAGGAAAACAAACTGAAGACTAACAAGAAATAATTACAACCCAATAAATACATAAGAAAAATAATAATAAATAGAAATAACAGTGGGCATATACAGCAAATGTATGATAAACACACAGAGACCTTTGGGTAGTGTGGGCGGCATATAAATTAAATAAATAAATAAATAAATAAGTGTTAAGGCAACTACACCAAAGAAAAGGTCCAAGAAGCTATGGACATGTTTGCACTAAAGAGGTGAGTCCAAGAGTGGAGACGCTCTGGGCAGGTGGGAAATGGCAGCTGATGGTGTTCAGTATCAGGCCCTTCAGCACTCAATGTTCACAGACTTAGCTGGGCCAACCAGGTCCAGAGAGTACCCTCCAAACAACAGTCTTTTGAGTGTCACTGTCCCCACCTTCATAACTAACCTCCCTAATCTCTGGGTTCCAGTCATCTTTGGCTAGCTGAAATGCCACCATCCAAACTGACCCTGTCATCTAGAATGATCTCACCAGCTCATGTCCAAGCAGGACATGGTTTCAGCACAACTCCTTCATCCTCTCTGTCTGCTCCAGACCTCTTTCCATTCAACAATCCAGCACACATTCATCTAAGCCTTTGTCTGCCCTCCAAACGTTCCAATCTGTGCTAGTTAGCCTCTTGACCCAGTTCTTATCATCTTCAGATATTTCTGTCTTCCTTTATGGTGATTGTGTTAAAATCTATACATCCTTGCTGTACAATAAAGCCAAGTATACGTAGAAATATACAGTACTAATAATTCTACGGTGTATTAAGCTAATGTTATGTTATATTGTACAGTTGTCAATACACTCTACACTTTTATTTTGGATTGTTAACTGCATTTCTTGGGCTGCTAGCTTTTTATTGATGGCCATGAACTTGGTATCTTAGCAGTCAGTTTTAGCTTGTGTTTATTGCTTATTTCATTGATTTTACTGAGTAAACTTCGGAGACCATCTGTATTGTCATCCAGTGCCACTGTAATATCTGCATATTGTATGTTCTTGGGACCCTTTACATTTCAGTTAGCTTTCCTAAATATGTTCTTAGAATACAAATTGAAAAATAGTGCTGATATAATGCACTCTTATCCTGTTCCTTCTTGTATCTCTATGTTCTGTCATCTAATCCAGGGGTCCCGAACCCCTGGTCTGTGGCTCTGTGCTGGTCCCTGGGCTTCGCAGTACCAAGCTGCAGAGAGAGATCTCCCGCCCCTGTGCATGCGTGGGTGAGCGGGCATGTTCGTGGATGGGTGTGACACATTTGCATGTGGGCGTGGTGTGCTCGGGAGTGGGGGTGGTGCACTCATGGGTGGGCGTGGCATGCTTGTGCACATCACTCACCCATGAGCGTGCCACACTCATCCGTGCATGCGCGCAAGCGTGCCACGCCTATAGTCAGTACAGCAAGCATACATATCCACATTCTTATCACAGTATCACTTGCTATTTACATATTGGTAGAACAGTGCTTCCATGGCTCCAGAGTCTCCTGTGAATACAAATTGTGTATGTTCTATACATATAAGTTATGCAGTGTATTATTTTAAAAACAGCCTTAAGTAACTGGCTCAATGAATTTATTTCTCTATTTACCTTTTTGATCAATTGAATAAACATTGATCCCTGCCATATTTCAGGAATGATTACTATTTTTCAGATGTAACTGAAAAAATTAATTAAAATATTTAGCTCCCGTCATCTTTTAGATTTAAGAGGCCCGTGAAAATATCCCAGAATCAAAGAGTTTTGCTGCTTTTTATTAGTTGTACAGTACTGCATTTTGAATTTTGGATTTATATATTTCCAGTCTAGTTTTTACTGTGGCTGTTGCCCCCTTGATCCTTTTCAAGCACATTGAAGGAATTCTGAGTACTGTACTCTCTAGCGTTTGTATTTCTGGACATCATCCAAACCTCCAATTTTGATTCAGATACTTTTATGTAGTTTTGTATTAATGTTTTCTTTATTTTTCCATTTTCATCTGTACTCCATTATCTCTGTTTCTAGTTTTTTACATTTCTTCTTTATAGGTTGCTCTTAGCCATGTCAATTAAAACCTTCATTAGTTTAGAGCAAATTACATTTCAATCTGAGCTAGTTGAGTATGCAGTCTTATCGGTCCTTTCAGGAATTTCTTCCATAATAATAGTATATAAAATTGGATCACTTTGATGTTTAATTTCTATGCTTTTCTTTTTTCTTTTCTTTTATTTGATATTAGCAACAGTGACGTCAGAATGATGTTCTGAATTTAGATCAGCTCCAGGATAGGGTTTCACTGATTTGTTAATGATTAACTAGAATATAATCTGTTTGATTTTTTACAATATTGTTGCTAGGAAATATTCATAAATTCTGTCTTCTTGATGGTAGTTTGAATTCAGTGATGTCAACTACAAGCGCTTCTTCACAAAACTATATAATTTTCAGTATACATTTCATTTTTCTAGTCTGTACTTCCCTTCCAACAAAATCTCTGCAGATGTCTTTCCCTCTCTCTGTGCGGAAATCACTGATTGAGAAATTTAGTCGTTTTTTAACTTATTTACTTACTGTTTAATTTATATAGTGCCCCATTAGTGCAGGAGCACTATTCTGGGTGGTTTAACAACAAATTAAAACATATAAACAGTAACTGGTAAGATTAAGATTAAAACACATAAAAACCAATGGCACCATAAACAATTTCCTAGTTCTAGCAGGATAGGAGTTAAGCAATCCATCAACCAGGGTCGATATGAAAGGCCTCTCTGAAAAGAAATGTTTTGACTTGCCTTCTAAGTGACAACAGCGAGGGAGCCAGGCATAGCTCCTCCGGGAGCTGGTTTCGTAAGGTTACAGCTACCGCGGAGAAGGCCCTTCATCTTGTAGAAGATTTCTGGTCTTCCCTTGGGGTTGCTACATGGAGTAGCTTAGTGTAGAATGATTTGGTGGGCCAGGTAGGTGAAATAGGGGAGGGACACTCTATTTCATGTTTTTATAACGGTTTTAAGTTCTTCATGGAATGTTCTGTACTTTCACCGTGTTTATCAGCAGTTGGAACATTAATACATTGCTTATAAAGTGTTGCTATTTATAGGATTTATTTTTTATTGGGTATGCCTTACTTGGTCTGTGTATGGAGAGTTTGAAGTGGCTGCATTTAGATCTTACGTTGGGATGATTGCAATAGTATGATGGTGCTATGTATTATTACTGCCTCTATAAAATAACTCCTATACTAAAAACAGAAACAAAAACAAAAGTATTATTGCACTTTTAAGACTTAAATTTATTTCAGTGTGTGTTTTCATAAATTACAATCTACTTTTTATACACAGCTAAGTTGATTATTATACTAAACATGTACTTTGTGACAAGTGTGTGTTAAGCCTTGAGAATGTGCACTATTAGCTCATGGAGCTTAGAATCAGCATGCTTGAAACAGTTTATCCTCTACTACTACACAGCAATTAAATGGTGTTAAGACCCCTCCCTCCCTGCAGTTGCTGTGTAGGACAAGTCCTCTAGTTGTTGAATGAAGGGAGGTGGTGAGTACACTTTGCTAGCCAGGCAAGTATCAATGAATGAGTCAGGCCAAGTTGTTTCACTGAAAAGGAGTAGAAAAAGTAGGGAGGGGTTATAGTCAGTGCCATAAATATTTGCTTCTTCTGTGGTTATTGGAGTATTGTTTTTATTTGTTTTTATAAGGTTGGATTGGTTACTGTAGAAACAGACTATGAGTATCCTTCATATCAGGGCTGAGCAGAAGAGAGTTATAAAGGGGAGTTTGGAATCTGCTGCAAGATACCTGGCTATTGCTAAACAAGCAGCAGGTTTCTAATTTCCCTTTGTTTAATGGGGGTAGAAAAAAGTTTCCCCAATCTCTAAATTAGGTGAAGGGGAATGGGTGGAAACAAGGAGTAGATTTTTGTGAGAACATACTTGTAGTCTGATTCCTGATATAGATCCTAGTCTGAGCCCAGAGACATCAAGTTCTTTATCTGTGAAGATTCTCAGCCATCCAGGTGTGACTATCTGGAAGTTGAGTCATGGCAACTGGACTTATTTATTTGTGCTGCTTTTATTTATTTATTTATTTATTTATTTATTTATTTATTTATTTATTTATTTATTTATTTATTTGATTTCTACCCCGCCCCCTAGACAACGTCTACTCGGGGCGGCTTACATATCGTAAAACATATTAAAACAGCTTATAAAACGTATATAGTGCAGTTATTATAATTAATTCTTTCTTATTAGGTTGCAACCTTTTGCTACTCATCCAAATAGCTTTTTCAGTCTTTGTAGGAGATCCATGTGAAATCAACCACGAATCAAAAAGTACAATATTTTGAAGCCAAAAAAGGTTTTTAGGGACATTGAGGGTTTAAAAAGAGATATGGGAAAATAAAATATATGTAATATTATTTTTGAAAGCCTAAAAACTGTACCAATATAAAATGATAAGTGCATAACTTAATTAACATATACCATTTTACTATTTGGCATATTGAATTTTACCAGTATGAAAGCCTTATTTCTTGTGCAGACCAAATGATGTATATGCCCTGTGTTAAAGAGAGAGTTATAAACTGCTACATCTTATACTACCTATGATAATGTATTACAGTTTTTGTAGTTTAAAAATAGGGGTTGGGGGGGAATGAAAACAGCATCCACAAAATAAGATGTATTTGGATGGAAACAGTTTTGCTTCTACTGTGAATGTCTCCCTCAAACCAAAATGAGGGTTACCCGAAAAGGCAAGCAGTTGTCTGCAAATAATGAAAAAACCCTGCCTCCTTATGCTCCTTCCATGAAGATGACATCAGGCATTAGATGCAGAATGCGTCTTGGAGCTGAGTGTTCTTATTTTTCTACAAAATGCTTAGGACTTCTCATTCTCTAATTCTGTAGACTCTCTCATATATAGATCTTCACACAGTGCAGTTCCTAGCATTTGAATGAGTAATTTATTTTCTTAGAAATTATTTCATTTATTCCAAAATTTCATCAGAATTGTTCTTCCACATTCTTCCAAGTTCCAGGATTCCATTAGAAAAATGTGAATTAAAAATCCTTTAAGGAGGGGGAATGAAAAGAAAATACCGTCCTCCCCCAGTTGTTTCATTTCCCCCCCTAGACCTCTGTGTCCCTGTCAAGAATCAATATTAAGAGGTTTGGCAACAGTGAAAAATACTAAGAACCAGATCAGTTTCCATATAATGATCTTTGCTTGGCTGGGCTCAGGTGATCCTGAGGTTGAGGGGGATTTGTGCCTTTGAGGGAATGGGAATGAAGGGATAAGGTATATCTTCATGAGAGGCCATGGTGTTCACCATAATTGGAGAGGATAGTACATTGTGATGTGTTCTTGCTTATACATCCTGACCAGAATCCAGTTGGTGTTTGTAAGTTGCTGTGGTTAACTGCACCCTGGTTAACAAGGTACCAGTGCATTTGCGTTGCATGCCTGATTGTGGACACAGAAGCAATATTCTACCTTTATAAACCAGATTTTTTATCTGAGGAATTGAACGTAGATGGCTTTCCTTTCAGAAGAGGATTGAGAATAATGAACTCAAGTTCTCTGTGCCTGAAATGTACAGAAGTACTTTTATGAATAACCATTCCTTCCTCAGGAGTAAAAAAATACATTCCTGTTATTTTGGGATTTTACTATACTTGGCTTCTCAGAACTGGTAAACTTGTCTAATAACATGAATATCGTTTAGAGGTGTGGTTAAGTCAGTCACCGATAATTCACTAACTTATGCTTATGCTGTTTTCCATATTAGGCATTTACTGAACTTCAAGCTAAGGTAATTGATACACAGCAAAAGGTGAAGCTGGCAGATTTACAGATAGATCAGCTGAACAGGACGAAAAAGCATGCACATCTGACTGATGCAGAGATTATGACTTTGGCTGATGAAACGCGAATGTATGAAGGGGTTGGAAGAATGTAAGTAATTCTTCTTCTTCTATCTTGTATATTCAGTTTTGTACCTGAACATACCTGTTATCTATGGTTGTTGTTATCTGTTATTGTTCAGAGCCAAATTTTTTTGAGAATATTGTTGTTTAGTCATTTACTCGTGTCCGACTCTTCGTGACCCCATGGACCAGAGCATGCCAGGCCCTCCTGTCTCTCAAGAGCCTCCTCCAGCACCACAATTCAAAAGCATCAATTCTTTGGCGGTCAGCC